ACCAGTGTAAAAATAATGTTCAACATGTTTTCTATACATTTTCTGTTCGCTGTGTGTGTAATGATGAACATTTTATTTAGTGACCATTTGCGTTATTCTCATGACGTTAATTAAGCAGTGACATTTTAAGGGAAAATTAATCAAGATTGATTTTTTTGTTTTAGTTCTAACCTATAACAGGCGATATGAAACGGAGAAATGTGTTGACTGGGACGATTATTCTAAAACGTAACTAATTAATAACAATCTTTGAATTCATAATTACGACATTGGTTTTGCTTTGTTTGAATGTTTCTTGATGAGACTTATGGTTGTCGTTACTATTTGTGTATGCATTCTTTCTTGTGAAATGTTTAATTTAGAGTGTAGGTTGGAGCAACCACACACCGAATGGGAAAAGACACAGTAAGCTTACATAGTTAAATAGCAGTTTGGTATTATTTAGTATTGGAATGAGTGAAGTGCATGAAAATTGTCTTGTTGTTCAGTTCCTATTTTCCTATTTCTTAAATTTATTCTTGATGAAATTGCATTTATACCTAAAAAATGTTATGAAGAACCTGTTTTGTTGCATTGTTGCATTCCAGACGCAATCGACTGGCAACAAGGACGATCGGAACGTCGCGCGCAATAAACTTCTGGGTGTTGTTGGCTTATTTTTAAAAGCAATTTAAATCGTTTGTTATTGTCGAATGTGTTGTTATAATTAGTTGATGAAGTTTTTTGAAGTTAAACATGGCCTACCAAATTTGTTTTATAACTGCATGTTTTTGTTTTTCGCTGTATTTGTCCATTACGTTTATTGGAATGAATAACAGTGTTTGTTTTCAGAATATTTCAACGGAGGTGGGACATAATTGGGTGACTTATCTGTTGTTGTGCATTTATACTCGCAGAACATGCAATATTTTATGTCGTCTTACTTAACTTTTTAGAAGTTTTATTAATGCGTTGGAAGTTCTATAAAGAAAATGGTTTGTTGCTTTGTTTTCTGGATCAGTAGCATAAATGGCGCCGATATTTGAACGAGAATACATGACCAATTCAAGTCTCGAATTTACTTGCAATATCCTTTAAAAAGGGAAATATCAAATTTGTTCAGTATGCATTCATTTGGGCGTCATTTATGCAAAATTTTTATAACATTGTTGTATTCTAGATATGAAGATCCTGAGAAAACCTTGACGTAATTAATCTGTTATGTCGTCGTTTAATCACTTTAATAGTCAAAACGTTTCTGTTTGCATTCGTGTTGATATTGTCTATAGCTCTTTTCTAATTACTAGCACAGGCTAGAAATGGATGTGGGATGCCGAAACCAGAGGCTCACTTTTTATAATTATTACCAATGTAAGACTTTTTTGAAAACTTGTTTTTACCAGTGAAAAGTTGTCTTTTTTCCCTCTCCTATCGATTTATTTATTGTTGAAATTGTTTATAGTGTTTCTTTACAGAAAGAACTACTCAAGAATTTCGAAGATCTCTTGAAGAAGCTTGTTTTTCTCGTTCGCTATCTTTGTTGGGTCGATTTACAGCTTTCGGGGTAATTTTAGCCTTATTTCTGTGGCTAAGTATTTCAAATGAATTGTTCATTTTCGTTTATGCAATTGTGTTGTTTAATTGCCCTTTCGTATTAAAAAAAAGTTCGCATAAATAACAACGTTGCATTTCAGAATTGTTTCTCATGCTATTTTGTTGGGGTGTTTTTATTTCCTTACTTGTTGTTGTGAAAATGGTGATGTTGCCTTCCAGAATCGTAGGTTATGGTGTTCAGAAAGCTCTAAACTAACAATATGTAATCCTGTTTATGCCGTATTGTCATTGCATTGTTCAATTTTGTTTCTTGATGCACAGTCGTTGTTATATACACCTTTTATTTGTTTAATGGTATTCCACTCCTTTCTAATATGGCTGGTGAATATTGTGGTTTGTTTTTGCGATTTTGAAGTGTGGAAGGTGTCTCATTGTCCTTTGGTGTTTGTTACTTGATTTTAACTTATTTTGATACATGCTATTGTCATTTTTCGAATTTATTGTTGTTTTTGTTGCGAATGGTAATGGTCTTTTCCAGAAAATGACCAGGGCATCAAGAACAAAGCAATCGAACAGTAAGCTTTGAAATGTTTAATTGTTACTGACTCTTCGATCTGATTAATCTTTGCTGTGACATTTTAACACGAATGGCACTGGTGTTCCCCCAAAGTTTCTGAAAGGGCTGTTTTTTGATTTAGGCCAAACTACTTCTCAAACTCATTAATAATTGATTAAGAAAATACAAAGGAAATTAATGTTTAATGAGTGTTTGGAAATCGGATGAAACACTGCTTGGTATTTGCATCCTTAATTTCTCCTTCAAAAATGATTTTGTTTGAGAAGAAATATCAAACATTCGACACAGTGTTTCATCACCAGATGAAACACCTCGAAGTTCGTCAAAAATACTCCGCTGCGCGTCGTATTTTCAACTCTCTTCTCGGTGTTTCATCTGGTGATGAAACACTGCATCTCATGTTTGATATATTACGTGAAAAACGTCGTGTTTGAAATAATGTCAAGCACGTGAAGGAGATAAGTTCAGGTATCCTAAAACCAGACCGCTTTGAAATCCGGCGATTGGGCCGTGTTCCCAGAATTTTTTTCCACAAGGAATGTTTGAAAGGCGATGTTCAAGGGATCGAATCCATTGACACGGGTTTGTTTCACATTAAGTATACCGGGGTATATTATCAACGTTAAAAAATGGGATGCAAGGCGTACTTAGTGTCGTTTCTCATGTGCAATTTTATTTCAGTCTAAACCTATCCATGATGTCCTTGCAAGTACCCTTTTTTGCATCCCTTTTCTAGTGTTAGTTATTACCGTGGATTGTTGCAAAAATTGTGTAAGTTGAGGTCTTCATTGTTGTTTGGAAAATAACAATGTTGCTTTTCAGAAAGAGCGGCCATGATACTAGCGAGAAAGCAAGTGAGGTGCTACTCTCCCAAACGTAAGCTGCTGACATTCCAGTTGATAGTTATAAACCATTTTGGCGATAAATATAAATAAACATACTTCAATACTTACTTGAACGTGTGTCATTGAATCGAATTGACAATCTTTTATTTATGTGCTGATCACTTCGAAACTTCAAAATTCGCCCCTCCCCCCACCCCTTCTCGGGTTCCCGAGGGTGGGGAATTTGAACTTTGCCTGGGTGGGGTGGGGACCGAAAGTGTCAAGATTAACTTCTTTTTATCCGGTGTTTGCCAAATAAAGTCTATCTTTTATTCGCCAACTTTTTCGTTTTCTCTGTTTATAACATTCCCGTGAAACAGCTACGTTGGTAGTTGCTTAGTAAACACCCACAAGTCAGAACCTGTGTTAGCTAGAACAGGAGGCACAAATTTTTAGGCTATTTGGTATTTGCCTATCTTAAGGTTACACGTGGGACTGGGTTGCTGTTGTGTCCATGCACTGGCTCTTTAGACTGCTTTTATGACGCTGTGGCTTTTTCATTGGCCCAAAACAGTCCCACAGTGCAACAGGCCTTTTGCAATAGTCACGTTATCAACTAAAACAGTTCGCCTTTGGAAAGTTTTGTTAGTAGGAAGAGTAAGAACATATTAAAATTAAGTAGCCGGTGAATTATCAGCCGTATACTCGAAAATAGCGATTGCAACGGCCCCCTATGAGAAAAAACCCTTGCCACCCAGTCACGCTTGAGTGGTTTTCCATAGGAATCCTTGTCGTTAAATTTTAACCTTATACGTTTAAGGGCTCAAATTGCCTGTTATGAATTAAAAGGAGATTTGAGCCCTGTAATGCCCCGTAAATTTTCTAATTTCCAAGGGTTTGTATGGAAACCACTTAAGCGTGACTGGGTGGCAAGAGTTGTTTATCTCATACAAATCCTTCTACTTTTGAGATATACGGCTGAAAATGTACATTTTTGCTAATTTTAATATGCTCTTTCAGTTCCTGCTAACAAACTTTAAAAGAGAACTGTTTTCGTGTTTCAGAACGTTGATCACGTGATCAACTAATGCGAAAGGCCTATTCGACATAACGCCAACCGGGTTTCTTGTGCAACTTTAAAATACCAAAATCGCCGAAAGGAACTCCAGTTCATCAGATATGGGGCCAGAAAACTAACAGTCCTTCAAACGTATTTTAAAACAGCAGCATTAACAAGTATTTTCTAACCACTGTTAAACATTTCTTAAATATTTTAAAAAGAAAGAGAGATCAAACGAGACTGTAGGTGAGATGACAAAGGATTGAAGCGTTAACTGAAGGCAGGATATTGACTAAAATATTTGCACATATTCCTTTGTGTAGCCGTTTTAGTTTCCTTTATGAAGAGAACAGCAGGATGATCTAGAGGATGAAGTCCTTGAATAAGAGCTCGGTTGCATAAGGCAACTTGGGATTAAGTGTTTATTTCCTGCTATCACTCTCTTTGGCCTGGAGGATATCCTTGCTCAATATCACCGAGCACTCGGCCGAAGGCTAAGTTTTGAAAAGAGAATAAAGAGTACTTCCTTCCGAACGCAGAAAAAGATTGCCGAAAATTCGCGCTCAATCTCAAGTTGCTGCATTTAATCGTACCCAGGTCCCTGAATGATCAGCTACCATATATGACTTGATCGCTGAGTTTCCCTGATTGAGCTGCTGCCCGGACTTTAATTGCAGAGTGAGACCGGAGTTCACTTGGACCGACACCTGAATTTGTTAAACTATTAAACGAACCATACACAAAGCAATGAAGGCTAGTTAAGAAACGTGTTGTTTATTGACTAATAATAATTATTAGTGGGTGGGGCGCGGTCAGGAGAGAGAGCACCCATGCATCCGTTCCCTAATTAAAAAATAATGATGAATGACGGCATTTTCCCAAACCAGAACTTGATGGAACATTCAGAAAGTTGATAACGACCGCTATTCAGATACGGGTAGGCGATGCAAGCTCCTCCTTAAGCAACTCCCAACGTGAACGGTTGAAATGACGCAGCTACGTTGATTCACTCGCCAGGCTTCTGTTTCAGTCTTGGTTGATTTCGTTTTAACCATTTGCTAAACGAATTCATTACAGACCGCTCCTCTTCCTTGAAATGCGAAACGAGGCCCTCCTGTAAGTCGGGATTGAAACAAGCATATCAGTTTTAGAATAAGTGCTTTGACCTCTTTATAATTGAGTTTCCGGTGAAAAGCCTAAACTAAGCAAAATTTATGTACGTTTCCTCATTTGTTTGTTTGGTTAATTTGTTTACTGGCTTACGAGCACGCTCCAGTCCCTTACCAGAAGTATCCGTTTCACATAATTTTATGCCCACAGCCTCTTACCTAGCCTAGTCCCTAAGCATCAATATTGCGCCCGGCCGATGTGTTTCGGGTCACGTGATCTGAGCGAGTTTTTGAGCCATTCGTCTCTAACCCTAACGCTAACCCTAAAACAGCATTCTTTAAAAAAAAAAGATCGACTCCAATCCCGGCCCCGGCCCCGACGCCGCGTTTTACTGACACCCTACCCCTTTCACATACTAGTTTAAAACGATGTATCCCTTTTAACTATTGAGCTGTTTTAAATGCACCGTCTTTTCAATATCACTAAGCCAAAAAGATTTCTCTTCTTCACAACCCCGGAAAAAATGTGCTTGATAGCCCCTTATCTCCCATAGAAATCCCTAAGGCTCTTTTGGGCGAAGTTTCCCCCCCTCCTCCCCGGGCTAGTCTGAAAGGATAGGATAGGATAGGATAAGTGCTTTATAATCACCAGAGCGCCTACAGACACACGTGCTTACAACGATAACAAAGATTTTAGTGCAATAATTACAGTGGTGTACATTTGTAGAATTTATACAACTATTAAACAAGGTTATATTTAACGCGTCTATCTCTTTCGCGGAAGCGATCATATACGTATTTAGCCACAATAAAAGAAGAGGGAGACTGAGGAGAGCATGAAGGTGTACGGCAAAAGGACCCTCATAGCCCCAAATCCCTTCAGAAATCTTCGAAGCTTCCTCGAATATCTTCGGACGTCTTCGGATATGATCGTATTCTTTACGAAAAATGCATGTCCTCCAAGGAATAAAATCACACCATCGACTCAAAACAAGGCAAAACAACAGGAATGAAACACTGAAAAGCAATTGTTCGCCCTAAGATACCCCAGCACAGAAAAATCTGTCTCACAAGCCACGCTCAGTCTGTGTCCAGGAGAATTGTAACACATCCTTTTGATCGAAAGAGGCAGAGCCGATCAAAAGGATCTGGTTTTTTTTTTAAAAAAAGCTGTTAACTACAAGCTAAAACCTAACGAAAATCAGGTTACACAAAATAACCCAACCCCTCTCCCCCGCCCCCGCCTCCCCACCTTACCGGGAAGTTCTCTAATTATAATTTCTAAATGAATTTTGCGTTTGATATATTACTAGTGATCTAGGCAAACAACACGAAATAAATAAGAAGGAAGTTTTCGCCGAGTATTGCAATGAGTACTTTTAAGAATATACTGAAGTATGAGAGAGTTTGAAGGAGGACACGCTTGAGTGACGGAAAAGCCACTCAAGCGTTTTCTTTTCACAATTTAATTGTTTTGCTAGCTTCACACGTACACAGTTAATCCAAAGAAATGCAAATTAACGTAGTGTAAACCGGCCCTGATCTGTAATAATTCAATTCAAATAAACGCACGCGAGTAATTTCATTGCAATTTTAAGTTACCACAGAAGAATAAACACAATCCTAAAAATGACCGGAAGACTTAATGTGGTTTGATCTGATTGAAATAGATATTAAAACGAGCCTACTCACCCATCCGCCATTCTGTCTAATCCAAGGACTTAATCGCCTAGCACAAAATCGTCCCATCCATCCGGACACATTACGGATAAATCTCGTGTCACCGGCTTGAGTAAAATCATACGCAAGCGCACCAGCAAAAGCGTATACCGCTACAATGCGTCCCCAGTTGATTCCCGAGGCAATGATATTCTCCGAGACGCGATTGAACATATGACAGACGAGGATCCCAAGATTTATTCTAAAGTTCAGTTGTTCCAACACGTTTATGTAGAGCTTGGGGTAGCTATTTTCTAGTAATGTACCCACTTCACAAAGAGTCTTGATCACATCTTCGGAACACGTGGCAGATGAATCGAGCCTCTCGTTTTTACGGCTCTTTGGATTAAAAAAACACAATTCTGAGCGGGTAAATCTGGCTTCGATGTACTTCTGGCACAAAAAAGCAGCTTGTTCTGAAATTTGGACTTCCTCAGCAGACAACGCGGTTGAAACATGCTTGATACCTTTCCTCGCCTTTCGAAACAGAAATGCACTTAAGCTAGTCCAAACGCGAACTAAAAATCTCCAGATGATTGTCAGCTCCATAATTTTATATACGCGTGTGTTAACAGAACCTCGTGTCGTCGTTTGAAGTTCAAAACAATGTCAAGCTTACTGTATTGAAATTACCTGTCCACTTCAAATTTACATATGAATACAAACGGCGATCGGTGCGAAATGATTGTATGCTGGCGGACGTTTGTGCCCTCACGAGGCTCTTTATAGAAGCAACGTAAGGAAATTAAATGAAAAGCATTTGTCCTCTCAGTATCGCAATGATCATGAATAGTGAAATGAGACACTGTGATCAGAGTCTGGGGTACCGATATTAACCTTGACCCAGTGTGCGCTCTTTTCAACAACGCATGTAACAACTGGGTTCAAGCCGGGTACTTTGATGACGTTATTGGTGGATAAGTCGCTTTACTTTGCTTCCGTTTCAGAAGAAAGAGGATTTTTGTTTACCAATAAATGATTACGAATAAGCTGTTTCGTTTAAATAAAACAAAAACCAGTTTACATAACATCCGTTTCAGATTTTTCAGGTGTACCCAACGTTAATTTACGGAAAATAGCTCTTCGGAAGACGATTTGAGATCTAGAATTTTCGGAACATTTGTTGTACAATTTCTTGCTTGCCTGCCTCTCCTAGGATTTTCGACATCTAAGAAATGGTATAATTGCCCATTTTTAACGGATTTTTACCCTAAAAAGGTCACCTAGAATTTCGGGAGCCTTTTCTCTGGCTGAAATGTTCGAGAAGGTAAGTTTTGATACCTTCAATTTTTGGATCACAAGACTTTCAGCTAGGAAATCCGAACAGATGAGAAATTTTTAGGGGATAAAAATATGCCTATATCTACCGTTTAAATACTAAAATACGTTTAACAATGCTATGTTTAATTGCTTTTGAACTACATTCTCGTTGGGTGCCCTTGATTTTTGATAACCTACGGTTCGCACATCAGGTCCGGACAATCTGTGAGCCATGCGAGCTATGGGAAAAATAGTTTTATGAAATTGTAAATGTATG